CCCCCCCCCCCCCCCCCCGCACACACACACACACACACACACGCACGCGCGTACGCACGCACGCACCCGCACAGATACGCACAGATATATATGGCCCCAGCAACGGAACGGTCGAGGCGGGCCAGCGCGTCGCCCTTGCATCCGGGAGGCTGAAACCGGCTGTCCTCGCGCACCATGAGCCGGTCCCATGGCGTTCCGCCCATGATCTCAAGCTCGGCACAGTTACCAAGCGACCAAAGGGTCCAATTGTCCCCCGCTCTCCTCCCGGCGAGAACGCGAGGGGGTGCCCAGGATGCGCATTCGCTTGGGCAGATCCTGGCGCGGGATGGGGAGCCCGCCACCGCACGCGCCCCGCCCCACGCGGTCCATGGGGCCGGGGCTCCGGTCCCACGGAAAGCGCCCCTGCTTCCCTCTCCCATGAACACATGTGCACGAAGACATGAGTGCATCCTTCGCACATGCCTTCAGTCAGCTAGACCGACCGAACGACCGACCGATCGACCGATCGACCGACGGACAGACAGACAGATGGCCGCAACTTCGGGGCACTTGACAGAATCCATGGGCCGGAAGCCGGGTCCCGGCGGGAAAGAGGGAGGTCTGACACTTCATGCCTGGTCCTGCGGAGCCCTGCTTCCCCCCCCCCCAGGAATTCAGCTTTCCCTTCACAGATCCCCAAATGCATCCCCCTGCCAAGCCACCAGGCCCGTTGCTTAAGCACGAGCCCTACGAGCGCCACGCCGAATGGATGTCGGGCCGTTTGGCTGGTCGCGTGCTGACCGCGCTCTTGGGAAAGGGAGATCTGTGGCACCGGAAGCATGCACCTCGCGACTGGCGGGGGCCCTCGGCCATGATGTTTGCTCGCCTCTTCGCTGTGGTTGCGAGCTCGATAATCATGTGCTATTCGGGACAAGGGGGCACTTCGTCGCACACGACCGCCAGCCACGCACACACATATACACTTCCGTCCGTCCGTCCGTCCGTCCATCACGTCCCATTGTCTGGTCACCGGCAAAGTCATCGGCGCCCGCCTTCGATAGGCGGCACGCGCATTGTAAGGAGGAAAGAGCAATCATGCCCATGCCTTCAGGCTAGACTGGCCCCGCCAGCGCTCGGGACAGGAGGCGGCCCAGGGGTTCTTTTCACCCGGCGTCTTCTGCCCCCTCGCCAGACCCCTCCCATTGCCCGCCCCGAGACGCCTGCCGTCCGCGAGAGCTAGGCGACGGGACGCAATCTTGGCGACAGGAAGCTCCCGCCCCGCCCCCCGCCACCGACCCTGTCTGGGCTGGACCCCACACCCATGGCCAAAAACTGGGACCCTGGCAATCGACAAACGGACGTAGCGTCGGCGCGCCTGGTCCGACAACACCGATCCCCGCCGGACTTCGGACTCCCGGGGTCCTGTCTGGGAACATTTGGGCAAAGAGACACCGAGGTGAATCCTCGACAGTCAAGGAACCGCCCCACCCGCCAAGCCACAGGGCATTCCTCCGGGTGCGCCCTTCCAAAGATGCCCTCCGCGGTCGGGCTCTTCTTCTGTCCGGGGTCGGGCCCCAGTCACCCGAGACCGACCTCAGTCAGTTGGCGAGGCTGAACCGATCGCAAGAAACAAAGCGCCTTCGCGGCTGCATACATGCCCCCCCCCCGCCCGAACTGGGAGAGGCATAGTGTCAGCGAGAGGGAGAGAGACAGGCAGACCAGACGCAGAGCTCACAGGAGCCCACATCATGTACCATTAGGCAACACGCGCCAAGATGACACTCACGCCCGACGGCTGGCAGGGGCCATGGGCAGGAGGGGGCCCCGGCCAAGGGAGGGACAGGGGCTCTGACGCCCACTCAGCTCCCACGATCTTCTTCGCTCGCGCCGGGACCCCGAGGAGTTGCCCCTTGGCGGAGTCCGCCCGGCCCGAGATGCATCGAGAACAGGCATTTCCTCCCGCTGAACCCGATCCCGGGATAGCTTTCCTGAAAGTAGCTCGCCCAGGTGCAGCAAATGCGGCGGACTCCCACCGGAGCCAGTGTCAATGGCCCCAAAGCCATATCATCCTGGAAACGGTCCTCAACGAAAAGGCAAGCCCCTCTCCCCGCCTCGTTTGTGCTGCTCGCCGGGCGGAGGGGGGGGGAGTGGGGGGGCTCCCCAAGCGCATGCGGCGTTACGCAAAACACATTCTCAAGTGGGCCTGGCCGGCCTTTCGTCCAAAAAAGAGCTGAAGACCGCAAGGGGCACTTGCAGGCCCCCCCCCCCCCCCCCCCACTCCCCAGCCTAGAGGAAACATGGGCGTCGCAGAGACCCGAGCATCGGTCCCGGATCCCGGATCAACCGGCCCCATGGCCTGCCTGTGGCCTGGGCGCATTTTGTCCTCACCCTCCGGGGTGCATTAATTCCCCGCAACAGTGTACCCTTGCCCACCCATACGCCTGCAACATGGGCACCGACCAAATCCAGTGAAAGAACTCTGCAAGGGAGCGGAAGTCCCGAATAGACCAGGCGACCGGATTCACTGGAGGCTGACTGGCGACGAGTCAAGACACATCCCCATGTCCTCTTCGGTGTCTCTTCTGGAAGGAGGGTCGCCTTCCCGAGGCCTCCCGGGTCAGAAAGTCCAGAAACCAACGACAGCACAGACATGCCCTTCTCCCCGACAGGCAAGTTGGAAAGCTGTTAATCGGCTGGCCGCGGATGCGCGCGCGCGCACACACGCACACACACGCGCGCGCGTGCGCACACTTGCGCAAACAGACAACACACAACACACGCACAGACATTCAAGCGTCCCCTGTGGAAAGCCCACGATCGAATGTCTCCCGATCGTGTGATGGAATGCATGTGATAGTCACGGGACCTATCTCGCGGGTGGCCCAGTCCTCCATCCCCACAGAGGGAGCCCTCTCGCAACGCAATTTGCCAAGAACACCCCAAGCCTGCACAGCGGAGAGAAAAGCCACCATGGGGGGAATGACGAGGCGCGGTCTAGGACAAAGAAAGGAAGTAAGAGAGAGGGGGAGAGTCAGCGGGACGGCGCATGGGAACATATGATTATATCGCCGTGTTGGGAAGAAGGAGGGGAAGAAGGAGGAGGGAAAGAAAATGTGGAAGCGACAAAGGGAGGAGAAGTATGTTTATTTTGTTTTACGCTTTGCCCATGATGGTGGCCACACAAATGCGCCCGGGCAGGGAGGAGGGGGTGGTAATAGCCGGGCAGGAGGAGGGACCCGAGACGATGCCCTCTCGCAGCAAGGGGAGAAAGGGGGGAAGGGGGAGGGGAAACCATCTTGCCAGGCGATGAAATACACACACGCGCGCGCGCGGCATGCAACCTTCCGGATGATCATGCTCCGCTGCTGCACAGTGTCATGCCTCTTGGCCGCTGGCTGGCGCTGTCGCGCTTATGCGCGCATCCGACAGCCGCCCTCTCCTCAGAAAACCACGGTGTTGATCATGGAGCCCAGGGTCTGGGCAATGTTCTGACTCATGACCAGGTCGACGCGCTCCTCCAGATGGCGCTTCGGGTCCTGCTTGCCGACATGCCGGGTGGCCAGCTGCTCCTTGGTGAGCTTCTCCTCCTCCTTGATGGACTCGGCATACTGCTTGATCAGCTGGCGCATGGCCTTCAGCGAGTCGACGTTGGCCTCGGCATGCTCATCGAAGTTGGCCACCTGCAGGCCAGCGGTCCAGGTGCGCTTGTGCAGGTTCAGCAGCATCTTCTCCTCGAGCGGGTTTTTCCGGTACTGAATCGGAAGCGAGTAGTAATTCCGGTTGAGCCCATGGATGAGAGCCTGGATGGAGGGCTTCTGCAGGTGCCCCAGGTTGGAAGTCGTCTGCCGGGGCTCGCTCCCAAGCATGATGGAAGCTTGGGCAATCAGGCGGAAGGCATCGATGACGACCTTCCCGCGGACGGACTGGATCGGGTCGATGACCACTGCGATGGCGCGAGAGTTCAGCTGCTCGAAGGACTGTGGGGGATTTCCAGGTGGAGATAAAAGAGGGGAGGGGTGGTGGTGGTGGCGGCGGCGGCGGCGGCGGCGGCGGCGGCGGCGGCGGCGGCGGCGGCCGGGGTGGAGGTGGAGGTGGAAGAGTCAGAAGAGGCCGGGAATCGGGAGAAGTACACATCTGGAAGGGAGAGCAGGACAAGGGGCCGCACCTGCTGGGTATCCATGTCCACACCGGACAGCCAGCATCCGAAACCCGGGTGAGAGTGGTACCAGCCAACGACCATCTCGCTGCGACGCGTCTGCCGGAGCATGTCAAGCATCTTGGTTTGGAAGACCGGGTCCACGGCCTCGACACTGACACCGGTACCGCTCTGCGGCATGGCGAAGACATCCACCACGCGCACGGTGTACTCATCGACAAAGTCGCCCAGCATCAGGCCCATCACCTCCATCGGAACACCGGCACGACCGTGCTTGAGCATCTTTTGGTGGCAAGGGCGGACAGACGAAAAGTGAGTCAGAGAGAGAGAGAGAGACAGAGAATAGAGGGAGGGGAGGGAGAGCGCGGAATCGTGCATGGAAATGGGTGGTCACCGCCAGCCAGGGGGCAGGAGGGGAGGGAAGAAGCTGTGGAAGTGAGCAAAAGACGCACCTTGATCAGGGCCAGCGAGGAGATGTGAACCGTCTCGGCGGAGTCGGTCTGGGGCCGCTCCTTGGCGTGGTTCTTGAGCATAGAAAACACCCAGTTCTGGTCCATGGCTGCACAAGGGGCGAGATGGCGGGGGGTGGGGGTCAGTCGGTCGGTCGGTCGGTCGGTCGGTCGGTCGGTCGGTCGGTCGGTCGGTCGGCCGGGCGAAGGAGAAGGAGTGTGCGAGCAGCCGGGGGCGCACCTGAAACAGGGGCGGCGGGCGGGGGAGATCACCACAAAGACGGAAAAAGGAGAAGGGGGGGGGGAGGGAAGGAAGGGAAGGTCGGGAGGGGAAAAGGGGAGGGGGAGAAACAAGCGAAGAGGGATGCCACAAGGGTCATCGACACCCCTGTCAGAAAGGGCACTCCGATTTGAGCCCCCCCTCCCGCCTGGGATAGCCGAAAGGAAGGGACAAGCCAGCGGGAGGCGGATCTCCACTCAAACAGGCCTACTTGCGTAACTCCGAAGGGAGAGCCATTCAAACGAACTAGCAAATTCCCCCCCCCCCCCTCTCGGGAAAGCTGCGGCCGGTTTACTGGAAAGACCAGAAGACGGGGACGGGGACCGGACGCCGGAAGTTCGCACTCCCACTAGAGACGTGTTGACAAATGGCGGTCACCGGGAGAACACACCAAGGGGCCCCCGGGGAAAAAGGGGCCGGCCGCCCGGAGCAGAAAGGGCGAGGAACTGACGTCTCACATAAGATACGGAACAGTGGGTGCCGTCACGTGACCGCCCGTTAAGATGTCCTCGGCTTAACTTGGGGCGCGGTGACCAAGCACGTCTCTCTCGCCTACCTCCAAGGCTGGTGAAAGGCGGGGCACACGGGGAGAAGGGGAGATATATTGAACTAATGTACAGGAGAGGAGGGGGGGGGGGTGTAGAGACCCGCTCTACGCGCCGAAACGCAGAAGGGGAGGGAGAGTGGGAAAACGAGGAAGAGAGGAGCAGGAAGCCGGAAAGTCATCAGGAAGTACACCGTGGCTGGGGGGTGGGGGGGGGGCACACATACACACACACACACACACGGACAAAACAGGGAGCGCGCGGGCCACACAACCGAAGCCCGACGAGAAAGGGGGGAAGCTGAGAGTCTTCCTCCCCCGGGTACATGCCCGCACTTTCTACACTCGGCCTCGTAGCCTCCTCCTCCTGGCTGCCCCCACCAGGGGGAGCACATCTGCGTGGTAATGGGCAGGGTGGAACGGGGAGGAGGGAGGGGAGGGGGGATGATTGGCTCCTCCACCGACACATCACACTGTCGACTCACGGGACTGCTTCTCCGTAAAAAGGAACTGATGGAGGAGCGCCCGGTCAAAGCAGGTGAGAGAAGGAGCCCGTGCATCCGGGACCTGTTGCGACATCTGTCCCTCGTGGACAAACACCGCTGCTTCCCAATCCTCGTCCTCCTCCTCGCCAGATGAGGAAGACGGGGGAGGGGTAGCCGCCAACGAGGACACGTTCGCCGACGAGGGGACAGCTTGGCCCATGACATTGATGTAGCACGAAAGAATCGAGCACTTGGCCGACTGCAGGGGGAGGGAAGAAAAAGCGATGCCGGCGCCCGCCGACGGAGAAGAGGGCGGAGTGGCTGGCACCGGGACACCGGAGGCCAGGCCGCCCGAAACCGCCACCGAAGAGCACTGCGACCAATGGGATCCGCCAAGTGTGGAAGACAGCAACTGGTTCAGGAGCCCCGGGTCAGCGGCCGAGGGCCAATGTGCCTTGCGGATGCGCAGTAGCCGGCCCCAGTTGGCCAAAGCAGCGGCATTCCCGGGCTGCAGCAGGAAGCGCAGGGATTCCCGGTGGCTCGGGGGGGAATCGGCAAAGTGCTCGGCAATCCACTCCTCCACCAGGGACTCGGTGACACGCAACGGGGTGGCCCGGGTGGCGAGGTCGCCGCCGCCGCCGCCGCCGCCGCCGGCGCCAAAGACAGCCGTCATGTCAAGAGTAGCATCGGCCGGGCGGAGGATGCCGGCAGCACAGGCAGCCGAGCAGGTGGCCAAGACCATCGGCACGGCACAGGCCGTGGCGAAGTCCACCGGAAGAATGTGAACAGGCGAAAAGGCGAGAGCCAGCTCGCGGGGAACACCGCGGAAGGAGTGCCGCGGTCCGGTGTATGCCGAAGAGCCGGCATGCACGCAGTCTAACAAGTCACGAAGGAGAAATTCCCGATGACAGGTGGCGCAGGTGACCGGGTCATCGGCCAACAGGCGGTCCAAGCGGGCAGACAGGCCGCCAACAAGCGATCCATCGCTCACACGGGAGGGGGGGGCGGTGGAGGAGGAGGAGGAGGAGGAGGAGGAGGAGGAGGAGGAGGACCGTAGCCGGGAGGCAGCCGCAACAGCCACTCGGCCAAGGAGGGAAGCCGGATCGGAGGAGGGAAGCCAACGACTGCCGACGGTGGCCGCGGCGGCGGCGGCGGCGGTTCCCAGCCCACTGGCGGTGGGAGAGGACGCCGAAGCGGACATCCGGATGTCGCTGCGGCCACCAACCAGGGCCAGAAGTTGATCGGTCGACAGGGGCCCAGAAGGCCGGGAAGGAGGGGGGAAGCCCGTGGCAAGGCGGGGAGCTTTGGCCAGCGGAGTGGTGGCCAGGGTGCCAACAGTCGCCGAACCGACATCCGGAAGGAGCCAGTCCTCTGCCGGGAGCTGGCGCTTGGTGGAGGCAACGGCCGGGGTCTGCTCGAGAGCCTTGAGGTCCCGGGTCCGAAGCAGCGGAACATCGATGGTAGCTTCCGGGCCCGGAGAACCATCGGCCGTCTCTTCCTCCTGGTGGCCGATGCCATTGGGACGGGCGGCACGGATTGCCGCCGAATGGGGGAAAAGCGCCACACGCGGGAGAGAAACCAGCTCCACGGTGCCGGCCGGGGTGATGCGGCCGAGAGGCCGGTGCACCGGCACCAGGGGATTGTCCTCGAGGTGGAGGATTTCCAGGTGCGTGGCCAACAGCAGTCGGGAAGGCAGCGCGGCGAGGAGGTTGCGCGACAGGTTGAGCACCTTCAAGCGAGTCAGATCGCCAAAGGAGGCCGGAAGCGCGCGAATGCGATTGCCACTGGCATGGAGGACCTCCAGCTGGGCAAGGCCCGAAAGACTCGCCGGCAGGTCGGTCAAGCGATTCCCGGCGACCAGGAGCGTTTGCAATTGCGCCAGGGTCTCGAGGCGATTGCGCACGAGGGACCCAAACCCATCCGGCCCCGGGGGGGCCAAGCGCGGGCGGCCGCATCGACACACCGTGGAAAAGGGCGTGGCCAGGGTCAAGTGCTCCAGGTGGTTGTCCGAAACATTCAGGTGGGCCAGCCGCGAGAGCTGGGTGAAGTCCTGGTCCAGATAGACCAGGCGATTGCCAGCCAGGTTCAGGGTGTCCAATTGGGGGAGCTGCTGCAGGCCGAGATCCGAGAGGCTGGTTAGATTGCACCCAGCCAGACGCAGATGCCGCAGCGTCGAGGGGAAGACCCAGAATGAGCGACAACGACAGATGGACGCCGGAGGGGCGGCCAGAGTTTCGGTCGACACAGAGGAAGGCCCGGCCGGGGGGGCGGCCGCCGGCACGGACGACGAGTCCCCCGGCGCAGGGGCAGCAGAGGGACCGGCCACACCGCACCGGGGCCAGGCCGACAAATCCGACCGGCTAATGTCCAACCACTCGAGCTCGGGAAAGAGGCTGCGCAGGGTGGTGGTCATTCCGGGGCCGGCGGTGGCATCGGCCGAGCGGGAAACCTGCGTCGACCAGTCGACCGTGCAGTGGTTCAAATTCAGGGCATTCTCGCTGAGGTCCAAGCGCCGGGCTTGGGGAAAGGCCTCCAGGATGCGCAGGGGAAGCTTGGTCAAGCCGCGGCCGCGAAGGGAGAGGGTCCGACTGTCGGCCAGCCAATCGAAGCAGGAAGTACGAATGTCCTGGGAACAGTCGACCAGCTCCGATAAGGGCAGGGTGCCAAGGGTGGACAGAGTGGACAGGACACCGGGCGTGGTGGTGCCTGGAGCCGGGGCCACAGTCGGGCCGGCGGCGGTGGTCGACCGGGGGCCAGGGTCGGCGGTGGAGCCGGCCCCGGTCAAGGAAGACAGAGCCAAGCTGGCAAGGTGTGGCACCACGGCGGCAATGGCCGGGCCAGGGGGAAATGCAGGGGCCCGAGACCGGGAGCCAGGGGCGCGGGTCGAGGCCGCCGCCGCCGTGGTCCCCAGGGCCGAGGCCTGGGGGCAGAAGGGCAGCAATTTGGCAAGGATGTCCGACAGTCGGCAGGGCTGGCGTTGGGGAGCCGGGGCGGCGGTGGCCGCGGCCGCGGCGACACGGAGGTCCGATGAGGATGGCGAGCAGCTGGCCGGGCCGCCCATCTCCTCCTGGAGGTGCTCCCAGCAGAACTGGTGGCGGCGGCCATCGCGGGGCTTCTGCCGGGGGACAGTCGCGGGGCTGCGCCCGCGTGCCTGCTCCAGGCCGGCAAAGCTCGCTGCTGTGGCCATATTGCGGAGGGGTGGATAGGTGCGAGAAGGGGGTCGTAGGATGTGTGGTGGAGTGATCAAACGTGGGAGGGGCACAAGGGCGGATGGTGCCTGTGCGAGAGGGAGAGGGGGGGGGGCACAAAGAGGGACGAAGAAGGAGCGAGGAGCAGGGAGGGAGCGGGAGAGGGGTGTCAGCTCACGCGAGCGCTCGCAAAGGGCAGAGGAAAGACGAGGAAGGGCGGGGGAGGTGCGAGGGAGGAGGGGAGACGGACATTCTCACGGCGATGCGGCGAGAGGGAGGGGGGAAGAGAGGGGGAGGGGGGATCAATCTGAGGAGAGGCGATGGGGCAGGGGAGGGGGGGTGGGGGGCGAGTCGGGGGAATGTTGAGAGAGGAATTGCCCTCTCTGGGAACAGGCCAGGGGGGATGGGTCTCTTCAAAGGGCGCAGCGCTCGAGGCGGGGGGGGGCGAGGTGGCGAGATCGCTCGGGAGGCTCACCCCACGCCTTCGCCACGAGCCACTCCTGGCCGGAGATCCGAAAAAGAACAGGTACCAGGCAGGCGGAGGGGGCG